ATATAGGAAACTTCTACATTCTCGTATCAATAAAAGTACGTTAGCCGGGTCAGTGATTCGATATGAATATTGACCTGTGCCTTGTGGTCCTAGTATTTACGAAACTGACTGCGATACTTTTTATTTTTAAAATAAAACAAACAGACATACATTCGCTTTTATATATATAGATAATTAAAATTACAATTTACAATCTGTATGCAATAAAAAAAAGTACAACGAGTAATTAATGTGTTTTTAAATAAAACAGTATTGAAATAAATATAATTTTATTATTTATATAAATTATAATAAGTAATAACTATAAGGGCTAGGTAATAACTATATAATTTATATTTTATACAATCACCAATATTAAATTTGATATAATAAAGATAAACGCATTGGTACTAGATAGGTTCTAAGCTTAAATAAATAATTGATTTGTGTTAATAATAATCATGCGAAATTAAATCCAATATTATTAAAAGTAGCCCATATTGTAGTCCCAAATCGAAATTTTTTTTTATTTGATTATGATCTAATAAATAATAACACTAATTAAATCGTTTTAACTGTTGTCAGCTAAAGCCTCAAATATAGACATTTCACTACTTACTCATGATTTATATTAGGTCCGTAATAAATTATAATTATCGATTAATTATATTATTTTTGATATATATAAATCAATAAATTGTTATCTTAATGAGAATTGACTACACTTAGGCTTCCGTTTAATTTAGATAAACATAGTTATATTCTAAACTGCTATTAACTAAGATAGAACCCCGGTTATCTACTAGTAGAATCAAAGCTCACCAAATATCACACAAGTTAAAGTAAGTATGTATAAACTATATAGTAAGTAGTACCTATATATCCTACATTCCTGCATCAGTGCCGGAATTGGAGACGATCTTGAATATTGTTTAACGATTATTTTTCGACCGATCTTAGTTATTTTATTGTAATTTAAAATATTATTATAATATTAAGCCCTAATACCCGCAGCTCGCAGGTACTTGATACTTTTTGCTATGACATAGGTATATTGTCATTTTCTGCACTATATAAAAAACAATAATATATGATTATGATATACAATAATATTAAATATTATAATATATGCGATGTTTATGAAAAAAATTATCATAAGGCATTAAGCTATTTATTTATACACCAATATATAATACAGTGTGATCACGATTTTAGGTACCACTGAATATCTCAGATGGGTGACTTTGTATTGAAATAGGGTTTTCGGGAGGTGATAGGGACCACTTAAATATATATTTTCAGACCTGTTTCAAATTTTTAGCTCACTCGGTACGCGCAATACGACTTACTTTTTTTTAAATGGCAATCCCAGTTTTTTTCTGCAGATTCAGGTAGTAGTATTTTTTTTAAACATTTATAGTATGAAAAGATTTTTTCTATTTTTAAAACTGACCAAGTTAGAGTAAGTCAAAAATTGGATTTATGCATAATTTATACAAATTCGTGATCACACTGTATATAGGTACCATATTTATAATAGTAACATAAATATCCTTACAAATGTACAGTCAGATAGGTGTCAGACACTGTTTCCGTTCAAAATTATTTGCAAGGATTTATCATTGAATTCAAATAGTATACCTACTTCCATTACAACGACTTACTTTAATGGACTAGTGACACTCGAATCGTACCATATGCATGGCGACAGTGCGACACTGTGACATTTTAGTTTTTTTTTATATTTTGTTGTTACTTGCTCTGAGTTGTTCGTAACATTTAATAATTTTAAATATATTGTATGATAATTGATGTATAATATGAAAAATTCCAGGGTGAACTGCAGATTTGTTTGATGTGGCGCGGGATTTTTCGCATGAATAATCAACAAGGCGATCAGGGTGATTATAAACCTGTCGAAATAACACTGCATTATATTACCTACGTAATTAATTCACAGGCCCAACTTTTAATATCTTTGAATAGTATATTATATTACCTATAAATTATAATATAATTATGTTATGTAAATTTCAACCAGATATTTTTGTTTTATACCGATTGAGAAATAGTGGATGGCCTATGAAAAATCATACACTCCGCCAAAAGTATAGAATAAAATAATATGCTTATATTGCTTATTATATAAGCAACAAATAACTGTAAATAATAATATTAGAACAGGTAACATAAATATAGGTAACAAATAATTGTATATTATAATTGTTCTGCAGGTGATGAAAGAGGTAATAAACCTAATAATTAAATTAAAATTATTT